CTATGGCATCCCGCAGGCTCTGCCGCACTTTGATCATCCAGTCGTGGGCCAAGTAGTTCTTTTGCGCGGCCTGAAAACAAGTGAAAGATCGTTAGTATTCGAAAAACTGCGCAAAAACCGAGCAAACAGTTTGACGTAAAAAATGGAGAACTTACCAGCACTATGGATTTCGCCGCTGAGCGGAGGACCTTGAGGTCAGAAAGCTCATCATGTTTTTTCATATCGGTGGGCAAGATCAACCCCTTGGTCAAATTGAAACCAAACGAGTAGTCCTTGTCCGCATACACAGAGTCTTCAGCAGAAACTGCTCGGCCCTGGTATTTGAACTCGGGTGCCCAGACCGGGGGGGCTGGGCCCTTGGATTTGCTGGCCCGTGGTTGCTCGGTCTGGTCCCCGAGCTCGGTAGAGATGTGATCGGTGGAGTCTTCATCCGCCACACGCGGTCCGGTTTTCTTGTTCCTCGACCGCTTCTTGGACCGACCAGCTGGCTGCTCGCTGGCAAGCGCCAGCACTGCCCCATCTCCCTGCACGGCGGGTGCGGAGGATGTCCCACCGGTTGCCTCTACGTTCTGGGGCTCGTCTTCTTCCCCAGTGATCAAGGACTTGATGGCCCTGATTTTCGCCATTTCTTGCTCGGCGGTTAGTGGAATAAGCCTGATCGGTGGAAGGTTTGGATCCAGTTCCGGAGTTGGGGCGCGCAGAAAATTGGTAACCCGGCTCCTGCGTGGTGCGGTGTAATGGTAGGTCTGATCGAAGCTGAGCAATTTCGAAGCTTCCCTCTCTTCGGCAGGATGGCGCAGCAAGACTCTGATGGCCTCTTGGTTGGCCCGGTAGTAGTCTGCTGCTAGGTGCTTATCTGCAAAAGAAGACAAGTGTTAGATTGGCACGAAAAATAATTGCTACATAAAGAAAATAGCGCGGTCAGCCGAGCAACTCACCCGCACTACCAAAATCCTTTCTAATATACCATCTTGGAATGGGTGCCTCGGTGTCTTCATAGCGCCCGGACACCCACAGGAAGTCGTCATCGTTTGTCTCCTTGTCCGGGTTACCCTTTATTAATTTTGCTCGGCCCTTCTTCACTTTGAGGTACCAGCAGAACCCACTCTTATTCCTACTAAGACTATACTGATGAAAAATTTCAGCCAGACCGAGATTGAGCCCGAGCATCCGGTTCAGTTCGGCAACCCCGTTTATTATTTTGTAAGTGTTATTTGAAACTTGGGTCAGGCAAAGCCTTGTCTGCCTCAAAAACTCACAGATCAAAGGCTGGACCGGGAAGCGGAGCCCTCCCTCTACTATTGACACGACCGTAAAGGGACATCGGTCTAGATCTCCTCAAGGGGTGTCTCCCTTTTTGGCGAGCTCTAGGATGACGTCATCTGGGATGTTGTAATCCCTGCGAAATTCGGCCATCGCACCGGGCGAGCTTACCATATAGCGGTACTTCCCCATCTATCTCGGTCTTATTTGATAAAGTGTATCTCGGTCAAAAATTTTTGTGGGTCTGATCGGACTCTGAGCTCCACTAGTTAGTGCTGGACTGGCTTGGTCGGTCCTATTTGTTCTGCATTGTTAAAAAATAATTCTAAGGGTTAGCACGGCATAAATTGCACGGCCCCTATGGGAATTGGCTCAGTGAAGGGATTATTGGTGTTTGGTCGGTTCGACCTCTACCTCGGGTATTCTACTTGGTCGATTTCCTAGTTCAGTTCTAATTCTCCGAAGCTGGCTCGGTTAAAGTTATAGCCCGGTCGTTTCTACTTGACGAGTTAACCCGGTCAAGGCTTAAGTAATGAGCTCAAGTTTTCGCCCGGTTCAGTACTATTACCAAGTTTTAATCGGTAGTTTGGCTCGGCTACAACCTTTACGAGAAGTCACAAACCAGTTTTTGCTCGGCCAGTGCGTCATTTATGGATTTAAACGAGCATTTTGCTCGGTTCTACCCAGATTCAAACTGTTCATCCCAGAAATAGGAAGAACTCGTTCGAACCTAGGAGGAACAGGGGGCATGAAAGCCCCATCCTTCCCTACTGTTCTTGTTTGCCCTAGGGTGTGCGAGATCTAAGCAAGGAAATGAAACTCTAATGGCCCCGAAAATAAACAAAAATAAACATGGAGAACACGAAGCATAAAAAGGTGAAAAAGTAGAAGAACTCAAGTACGAGAGCTTGAAGAAAGGTTGGGAGGACTTACCAAATACAGGTTGCGAGGGCAGGGCCTCTCGAACTTGGTTGTGGCTTCACGAGAAACTAAGAATGGAAGCGGAGGCAGGCGAGACGCAACGGCATTCAGGGGAAGTTCTCAGAGAATATGGAAGGCTAAGGTTTAGGGCTTGTGTGGAGGAGAAGGAAAAGTGAAGGGTTTAGGCCCTTCGTTGGAATACAAAAGAGGGGGGAAGGAGCCCAAACGGCTACGCCGTTTGAATTTTGCGCGTGCAGAGCAGCTGGCTGTATGACCTAGTGGCGTGAAGCCACGTGGCACTGAAAATGCGGCTGTCAGTACGGTTGTACGACCCTTGATGAGACTGGGAAGGAAATGGCCGACCAAGCAGGACAGCTCGGCGACAGATTTGCCCCCAATCATGCTCGGCTTGTTGATGGAGCAACTCAATCCGTTAGCTCGGTAACCCCAGTCACGACCAGGTCGGATGGGGTTAAGGGGCAATTGAGAGGGGAGATTTGCGCCGTTAGTACGGCCGAGCAGGGATTGGACGGGTCTGTTTTGCTCGGTCTCGAGGATCGGCTGACCGGGCGAAAACCAAGCCTGGCCGAGCTGGGACTAGCAAATATTCGGTAGTGCGCACAGCTAAGAGGCGAGACCGAGCATATGGATAGCTCGGCTAAACTTGTGGATAAGGGAGGGAATGAAACGCGTCTCTGACCGGTGAGCCGAGATGGGAAGATTCATATTAACCTTGGATGAAGATAGAACGGACGGGGGCCGCTGCCTCGCGACGGTAATGCCACGACGAACGGTCAACTCCAGCCCGGTCTATGGCGTCCCTCCCGCCGCCCTTTGCCAAGAGTCCGGTGGCATAGCGCGGTTGAGCGCCTGTAGTGATAGTTCTTCTTGGAAATAGGCCGGTCGTGCGTACTATGCGGTCAGGTGTGCCACCTCGGGCTCAATGGCACGAAGGAAGGGAACATCCTGCTCCACATATGCCATCAATACCGTTAGGCAGTTCTGCGTACTGTGGTGGAGGACTAAGCCTTTTACACGCGTAAGGTGGTGAGAGGCGAGTACTGCACCTGTCTTGGGAAAGACAGCAAGAAGTAGTGCGGCGCATGATCTTGAGGCTGCATGGCCAGCCTTGAAATAGGGAGGAGGCGAACGTTAGAGGTGCAACTTCTTCCCAAAAAGAGAGAACACTCTCTCTCTCTCAGTCCTTCTCAACTCTTCCTCAAGTGGAACTGACTTGATCGTCGGAGGGTCTATCCGGCACACCATCGCCGGGCAGCTCACCGTTTCTGTGTTGCCAGGTAGACGCCGTCAAGAGAAGCTCAGAGTACAAGGAGTACGGAAAGCAGAGGATATTTCGCCCCCGTACATATTCTATTGATCTTTGCATTCTAGAAGAAAGCTCTGTTATGCCTCCTCCAACAGCCATGATAGCACCGCCTTATCGAAATTGTGTAGGTTTTTGCTTTTTGTTTTCGTTCATCGTCTGTCGTCTATCGTTGAAAACTGGGTCAACGCCAAAACTGAAAATGTTCTCAATTTCAAAATAGAGAATAATTTCAGTTTATAATTATCAAAACTAAGAAATTTCTCAATTTTTTTTCTAGTATTAACTAAGAATATTATCAATTTTGAGAAATTTCTCAATTTTTTCATGATTAAAATTGAGAATATTATAAACTGAGAATGTTCTTAATTTCAAAACTGAGAATGATTTCAGTTTATAATTATCAAAACTAAGAAATTTCTCAATTTTTTTTCTAGTATTAACTAAAAATATTATCAGTTTTGAGAAATTTCTCAATTTTTTTCATGATTAAAATTGAGAATATTATCAATCTTCTCTCTCTTTCTCTCTCTCTCTCTCTCTCTTACATATACCTTTTCTTCCTCCTTCTACACTTTCCAAATTTGGAAATCTCCTGATCGAGTTCTAGATCTGGTTCAAGATGAATATGACTGGATCATAATGGTGAGAGGCAATGATGGAGACGATGAGAGGTAGCAATAGCAATGGCGAAAATGATGGGTAGTGACGGCGACGACAGCAGAGGCGACTGTGACGGCAAGAAGCGATGGGCGACGACATGATCGCGATGTAACAAGGGATGAAGTGCAAGAGAGGGAAGAGACGACAGAGAGGGGCGACTGAGGGAGGTCGCTGTTGAAGGAAGGAAATCGCTGATGGGATTTAGCGTTTGGGTCACTGCTGATAGTTCAGTGATGGTGGCTGGAGAGAACATAAGAGAGAGAGAGAGAGTGAAGAACTAAATATTTTTGTGTTTTTTAATTTGTAAGGGTAGATTGGTTATATAAAATTAACATAAGATTTATGAGTTTAAAGTTTTGTGAGTAGGATCTATACTACCATTAATTGTTAAAAAAAGACTTTACTGTACAATACCTTTATTTATTGAATTGAAGATTTCCATTGAAGAGAGAGTTCCTTGAAGTTTCCAAGTACTATATCATTTTCATATGTCTTCTTGAGTCAACAAAGCGTACCACACGTCTGCCAATGCTAATCCTTCCTTGGTCACCACTTCAAGGAATTCGTTATCAAATTTGATTTCTTAAAGAGTAATGGTAGAGATTTTAAAAATTCTATTAAAAATTTTATCAAATATCTCATATAAGTGTGAGACTCACACAATGTGAGTCTTATGTAGATCTTATACCCATACCCATGTGAAACATTTGATAAATTTTTTAAGATTTCTAACATTTTTGTTTATTAAAATCTTGTTCCCTATCATTTTCTTGGTGAAAGTTCCAAGCAGTTTCTTGGACCCATTTTGTTTATATATGAATGCAAACTAACTAATAATTGCTTGGTACCTCATAGACCTCCTTTCTCATCTTTTCTTTCCATGGAGAGAGTATCCTCCAAACCAGATGGTGATGATCATGACGAATTCTCTGAGATCACCCGGAGGCCGTTCGATCTATCCGACACCGATGATATCATGGTGTGGGCTACAGACAACAAAGTGAGTCAGTTTTGCACTTGGAACACCTACACATCCAGAGAACAAGCCATAGACTTCATAGAAAACATAGCAATTCCGCATCCATGGTTGAGAGCTATATGCCTTAAAAACAGGGCGATTGGGTCTGTTTCAGTGATGCCGAGCTCAGGTATTGGGGCAAGCAGAGGTGAGATTGGGTATGCTTTGGCATCAGAGTATTGGGGCAGAGGAATTGTGACAAGGGCAGTGAAAATGGTGGTTTCAAGTGTGTTTAGTGAGTGGCCACATTTGGAGAGACTTGAAGGTTTGGTTTATGTTGACAACTTGGGGTCCCAAAGGGTGCTTGAGAAGGCTGGGTTTCAAAAGGAGGGTGTGCTAAGGAAATATGTCACTGTTAAGGGGAGGTCTAGAGATATTGTGATCTTCAGTCTTCTCTCCTCAGATCTCATTAGTTGATTAATTTCAATAATGATAGGTACAAAAAAATATGCACAAAATATATATTGTGTGATTGATGTTTATTGACCCATGTCTTGCGCAATATAAATTTTAGAAACACAACGTATTTTCTATGTATATTCTGTGCAACTAGTATTGTTGCATTAATTTCAATTGTGCTTATGAAAAATGTATTATATTACTCATTTAGGGTTTTAAGACTAGTTTTTAAATTTTTTTACTATTTTGTATCACTTTTGTGAATATTCATAATTGGTTCTTTGTGTTGGAAATATGTAATTATTAAAGAAATAATAAAGATGAATAATATCTTATCATTTACTCCTGTTACAAAAAAATGGGAAGAAAAACAAATCTGCTGATACTTTGATTTTGTTAATCAATTTTTGCTGGAGTAGTTTGCAATATGAAATAACTTTATAAAACTAAAATTCTCTTCCCAAATTTCCAAAAAAATAGAACTTAAACTATGTTGTATGGGCCAATAAATGAGTCGAGTAGGACTTTGTAAGATTCAAGCCCAAGTCCGACTTTATTTATTTATACTAAATTACCAATCATGAGCTCAACTTATTAATAATAAAAAGATAAAAAAATTTGATTCAATAATCCGATTGACTCGTTAAATATTATTTTATAATAAATATAAATATATAACACATTTTATATTATGCAAATAAATAAATTTTACGAGCCAAATTTATTCTAACTTTGATTGGTTTAATAATACAAGCTTAAATTTTTTTGTCCATTTGTTAGCCCTACCCACCCCTATAGCCACCATCTTAATTTTTTTAAGGAAAATGATTGGTGACCCTAAAAAATTTGCCCCTAATGCCCCTAATTTCCATTTTTAGAAACTGTTTTCTTTTTTTCTTTCTTTTTTCCTTTTTTTTTTTTTTTTCATTTTTGTTCTTTTTCTTCTCTTTGCTCTAACTTTTGCCTGGGTCGCCCTTCTGGGTTTTTAGCCCAACGAGCCTCTAAAGAATAGAAAAGTTTAACTTGTCCATGTTGAATGGTCGTAGGATCTCTAGCCATTTGAATCCATGAGAATGGTTGTTGTTGCTGACTAAATAGTCTTGATGATGTAAGAGCTCATCCAATTGGGGTCTAAATTTGAGCACATCTAACATTTTTGCCCCTAGTTCAAGGGTTACTTCTGATCTAACATTGCAAGTTTCCTTTCATGACATCGAACCTTCTTGATTTGACCTTCTTGCCCCTAGTTCAAGGGTTGCTTCCAATCCGGCCATACAAGCCTTATATTATGATTGATCATTTGAACATTCTGAGTCAAGGTTTAATGTTCGAAAGCAAAGGGGTCGAGTCTTGAGGCTGAGAGTAATCCTATGCTGCACAATCTCAAGATCAATTCCATGCATGTCTTCGCAGGACCACACAAAACATTTTTTTAAAATCTTTTAATAAAGCGACTAGTTGCTAAGGCTCCTCTGAAGACAATGCAGAACCAATCTGGATCAAGCCAGGATCCTTCTCAGTACTCACATTAACAAACATGATCTCATTCATAAAGGGCTTAGCATGCCTCTCTTCCTCTCAGTTGATCAAATTTTTACAAATCCCGAGAAATTCCTTCCTCTTTGTTTTCATCATAGTGTTAGAAAAGTTTTGAAAAACTTAGGTCAATGCAATGATTTCAAGGCACATAAAAGTAGGTGAAAATCACTGTCGTTTCATTCAGATATTCTGGCGCAACTGGCTTAATGGAAAAAATAGACGCAAAAGAAAGAATGTAAAAGACAAACACAAAACAAGATAGTGATGTCCAAGGTAACACCCCTGAAATCACCTGACTCTAACACAACAGAACTGACTCGATACAATAAGAAAATATTCTATTTCAAAACGAGGCCTTCCTCTTTGTCAAATCTCTGTAAAATCACTCCCAAATTCAACTCATCAAATATCTCATTGTCTTCCTAAATCCTAATCTCTCTCTGTCTCTATGGATCCACTCTCAGCTCTGCGGGATTTCACAATTCGAAACGACCTCGACAAGATCGTCCGAATCGGCGACGAGTTCCGCTTCGGCGGCGACTACTCCTTCCCATGCGGCGTCGCCACCGCCTACCGCTCCAAACAGGGCAGCCTCTACTCCCTCGAAACCCTAATCTACTTCGTCAAGAACCACCACCTCAAGCACACCGATTACATGCACAATGCTCGCTCTCACAACCTCTCCGCCGTCACCTTCATCGATCGCAAACCCTTACTCGACTATCTCCAAGGCAAAGTCTCCTCTTCCGACTCCATCCAATTCCTCGCCCCCCAAAACCCTAAATTCACCTCTGACGAGTACCGCCCCGAAGACCCTAGCTTGATCCAAATCACCCCCAATGACGACAACGATTTCGATGTCAATGACGAAATCGGAGCTAGGGTTTCGGATAATTACATGGCCATGATTCGAGCTATGGAGAGGCCTTTGAAGGATCGCGAGACCATGCTTGAGTGTCGAAATCGGAACTTTTATGTGGTTCTAACTGCGGCGACGAAGCGCGATGAGGAGAGGCAGCGATTAGAGTCGCAGCAGAGGAAGGACGGGTTGGTTGCGAAGAATAGGCTGATGCGGGGTGATGAGAGAGGGTTTGGGGATGAAATGGGGTATGATTCGACTCCGAAACCTAAAATGCTCATGAAGGGAAGCAAAATTGGGGAGGGTGTGCCGATTATTTTGGTGCCTAGTGCGTTTCAGACTCTGATTACGATATACAATGTGAAGGAATTTTTGGAGGATGGAGTGTTTATACCGACTGATGTGAAGGTGAAGCAGATGAAGGGGCCGAAGCCGGAATGTGTTACGGTGCAGAAGAAGTTCAGTAGGGATCGCCTGGTGACTGCTTACGAGGTGAGAGATAAGCCATCGGTGTTGAAGGCTGAGGATTGGGATCGCGTGGTGGCCGTTTTTGTTTTGGGGAAGGAGTGGCAGTTCAAGGACTGGCCTTTCAAGGACCATGTTGAAATTTTCAACAAAAGTAAGTATTTTTTTCCCTTAAAATTCATTTGGCATTGAATTTATGTGGTGGGTTGGACTTTGCAAATACAAATTTGATTGCTTGGGTTACATAGTTGTATCAATTTATTGAGGAACTTGTAAATTCTTATAATTGTCCTAGGAATATAGGCTCTGACATATGGAACTGTTCATGCTTAGCAGTGTAAAATCCTAAACAACATTTATAGAATTTGATTACAATTTTTACTTTATTTCATTCATTGGAATGTAATAGAAAGAGAAATGTAATTCATGAGATATTGTGCTTACTGAATTTTGTTCCAGTTCTCGGTTTTTTCATGCGTTTTGAGGATGATAGCGTGGAGTCAGCAAAGAATGTCAAGCAATGGAATGTGAAAATTATATCGGTGAGCATATTTTTCCTTGGAAGTTGGAGCTATTTGGCTCTGTTGTCCAATAGAGCCAGTAGGTTAATAATGCTTTCTTTCTTGATTATTTCTGTCATTTATTCTGTTTATTATTGATGCAAGTCCAACTCCACGTGTAGATTAGCAAGAACAAGCGGCACCAGGATAGAGCTGCAGCGCTTGAGGTGTGGGACCGATTGGAAGAATTCATGCGCTCACGGTCACGTGGTTGAGGTGTGCCAAGTTTCAGACCATCAGCCACATCTTTCTTTTGTGCTCTTTTGTAATGAATTTTGTTGTAGGACACGTGCTATACTTGCAGTTTGTGACCTACATTTATTTAATTATTAGAGTATTAGTTACCAAGTTTGTTTCTGGTCACTCACGAGTACGCAAAATATTTTAATGGTTTTCTTTTTTCTTTTTTTCTTTTTTTTTGTGTGTGTGTGTGTGTTTGGTGGGAAGGAAATAGCAGACTATGGATGAGAAATTTTGTTGCATATGAGATCTTCTTGTATAGATGTTGGGCACTTTTGCCTTTATTGATACGTTGCCCTGGAGAAGCTTCATAAGCATTAAGGAACTTAAAGAAAATTATGAGAGCTTTCTTTTTGAAACATTCAATTATATCAATGTGTCATTTGTGAATCAAAGATGAGTTATGGGAATCTGGCCTTTTCCATGCCCGTAATTTGTAATTTTACTACCCGTTAATGTTGTTTGGAATATTTATTGAATTCTTTCCTCTGTATACATGCCAGTAGTCTAATAGAAGATGCTGATATAGTGAAGTTGTCTCCATTGATAGTCCTATCACTGAACTTGATTGCTTTAATTTCCTCAAAATTGGGGCTTGTTTTCAATTATTGTCTAGAATAGGATAGCATTATGGTCCAATAGATGGGGATGGTAATTTACTCCCTTCCTGTTCTGCTAGGATTTTTTTTTTTTTTTTATTATTAATTTTCCCTCGATAGTTATGGAAAGTTGAATACCCAACTTATTCGGTACATGGACAGTATAAGCCTTTCCGCTTCTTAACCCCACCGCCAACCTCGATTATTGTAATACATATGGCTTCCCCCACTACATAACCCTGGCCCTATCCCCAGCACCATCCTTAACCGTTTTTATAAATTTATAATTACATATACACTTAAAAAAGTTTTCTTGAAACATTCATTATGCAGAAGAACAAAATATGTTTGTTCACAAAATGATGTAGCCTAATAAATCCCACATTGGTTAGATTTTGATGAGCCTTAAGCCATTCCATACTCTATAAAAGCACGTTTCATACTTTGTTATGTAAAACAAAGCTTTGAATCCACATAAGTTATATACAATTATACAATGCAATGATACATTCAACCACCTGTACAGAAAAAAGAAGTTTCATGGCATGTGTCATTTGTGAATCAAAGATGAGTTATGGGAATCTGGCCTTTTCCATGCCCGTAATTTGTAATTTTACTACCTGTTAATGTTGTTTGGAATATTTATTGAATTCTTTCCTCTGTACACATGCCAGTAGCAAGGTTGTTAAAATCGGTATCCTACGTTGGATCGTTGGAGGTGTTTATAGGATCGGATCGTAGAATCGGATCGAGGATCGTAAGATCCTACCGAAAAAGACAAATTACATAATAATTTAATTTAAATAAATATTTCTTATAAAGTATACACAAAAATATATTCTATTAAAAAGAAGTGAAGATATTGTGAAAAATATAATACTCTATATAAAATGTACATATAATATTATACAATAGAAAACTCAACGGTAAAAGTTTTGTATTTTATCAAAAAAGAAGGTGAAGAAGAAGAATTTTATAACAAAATACTTTACAATCTACAATAATGCATAAAAAGTGAAGAAAAAATATTTAACAAAGTTGGATATGAAAATAGATTAAGAACTCAAAAGAGTAGCTTAGTCGAATGATAAGGTTTGTCGTTAGCATCCCTGGTGGAGCGGATTCGAGCTACAAAAATAATTTCTCCAAAAATTGGGATAAAGTTTCAATCGTCTTACCCTCCTTAAAGCTAAGTTTGTTTTTCCGACTATTTAATTTTCTTAAATTACTGCAATATTTGAATGTTTGTTTCCTAATTTGTTGTTCTTGGTCTATTTGATTCAATACTACTTAATTTTTATTATTTATTTTGACCACATAAATTGGTATTTAGACAATAAATATAAAATTTAAAATAAAATATGTCATACAATACAAAACAAGGCTTGTAAATTGGATCGGATAGGATCGGATTCGGATCGGGATTCCACGATCCTATAAGATCCCACTATAAGGATCGAAAGATCCTACCTATAAGGAGTTTTTTACACGATCCGGATCGATTATACTCAAATGGATCGTAAGATCGTAGGATCGTAAGATCCGGATCGGGATTCTGATAACCATGGCCAGTAGTCTAACAGAAGATGCTGATATAGTGAAGTTGTCTCCATTGATAGTCCTATCACTGAACTTGATTGCTTTAATTTCCTCAAAATTGGGGTTTGTTTTCAATTATTGTCTAGAATAGGATAGCATTATGGTCCAATAGATGGGGATGGTAATTTACTCCCTTCCTGTTCTGCTAGGATTTTTTTTTTTTTTCTGTTATTAATTTTCCCTCGATAGTTATGGAAAGTTGAATCCCCAACTTATTCGGTACATGGACAGTATAAGCCTTTCCGCTTCTTAACCCCAACGCCAACCTCGATTATTGTAATACATATGGCTTCCCCCACTGCATAACCCTGGCCCTATCCCCAGCACCATCCTTAACCGTTTTTATAAATTTATAATTACATATACACTTAAAAAAGTTTTCTTGAAACATTCATTATGCAGAAGAACAAAATATGTTTGTTCACAAAATGATGTAGCCTAATAAATCTCACATTGGTTAGATTTTGATGAGCCTTAAGCCATTCCATACTCTATAAAAGCACGTTTCATACTTTGTTATGGAAAACAAAGCTTTGGATCCACATAAGTTATATACAATTATACAATGCAATGATACATTCAACCACCTGTACAGAAAAAAGAAGTTTCATGGCTTGATGGCTGTTTGTGAAAGCATGTGTCATGTGGCTTAAAATTAGTCATGTGGGGATGAGAAATATATTATATTTTATTATATCAAAATAGCAAGAAATTATTTTTCATATTTTACATATTAGAAAAGAAGTGTGAACAAATAATATTTATTTTAGTCTACATAGGGATCAATTCAAATGTCATTGAATCCTAATTTATTTTATTCACACTTGACATATGTTTTGTGGGTGTGTAAGTGATGGACATGTGTGTCCTCCAAATGTGTAGGTCTAAAAAATTAAAAACATAATAGGACATGTTTGGATGGGTGAACTACTATGTTACATGGACCTAGGTACAAATATCGGGCCGTGTATCGAAACGTCCAACCTTCATAAACTTAAATCTTACGATATTGATATGTATCCAAAAGTTGGATACGGGTACGTGGACGTAATGTATAATATTCTTAAATTAGATAAGATATTGTGAAATGCACTTAAAAAAATTAAATAGGATTTAGAGAAAGTAAGGGATTTCTCTCTCATTTTATGTTTTCCATATTAATGCGTTCCACGTCAATAATTTTTGTTGTTGCAAATTGTTTTCCTTCCATTTTGAACATCTATCTAGGTGGGGAGGTTGAATAGATTATCACTTATTAGAGAAAGTGCCGAATGGATGAAATGGAGAGGCAAGTGTCGTAATAATTTAGCAATAATCCAGTCATGTACAATTCAGAGTTGTCCATGTTGAATGCATTACAGTATGGCCTCAAAAGAATCTAGATTTGCAGCCTTGAATCCTTCTTGTAAGTACCTCAATTTTTCATTTACAAGATGAAAAAAGTATATTTGAATTAATCCTTACCCTACGAAGATATGGGGCAAATAGGGACATTCATCAGATTTTATTAAACAAAACAAAATTGGTTAGTTTTTGTACAATGTTATCTGAAATGCAAATAGTCTTGGTATAAGGAATGGAAATGGAATGTTGTAAACTTAATGCTCTAAAATGTTGGTATAGGCTTATGTAAGCTCATTATTAGAATGATTTTGAGGTTTTTTTCTAAATCTAACTGGATTTTATATGGTTAGTGACATTGAAGATTCATAATATACTGAAACTCAAGTTTTTTATTACCCTTCGAAAGTGTGTTAAGGAATTGATTTTGCATAGACATGAAAGTTATTGTATCCCTAAGTTGAGCTATTGATGTGATTTAGCCCTTTCCTTCAATCTTTTCATGACCCAACTTATAGGATTTTGATTTATTCTTTTTTTTTTCTTATAAGAAAAAGGAAGCTAACTGAAAAGAGTGAAATAGAAACTTTATGTAATTTGAAATTGTGTACTCTGAACGGAAACCCCCAGAATATTTGGTCTTGCAGCTCTAGCGTTTTTAATAGCTACCTCATAATAGTTTAACTTCTAATTCTCAGCAGTTGAGATCTATTAGGTAGACATTTATCTGATAAGCCACATTCTGCTATATCCTCCTATTTCTTATTATATACCACTATGATTCACTTCACAGACACGTTGGGTGTTTGAAAATAGGAGGTTATCAGGTCAGTTATGGGTTGAATGTTTTACTTATAAACAGTTTAGTGGTGTTGAATGACTGCAAGGATGAGAAAGAACTGTAGTCTAAATGGTTCAGATGAATGCAGTCATGACTTATGAGAGGAGGGTTGGTTAGTAAATGAACAGAGTCTTTAGCAGCGTACGCTTGCTGGGCCAGGTGCTTGTCTACATATGTCCAACAATCGGATGGGCTTGCTCAAGTCAGGACCCAACCCAATGCTTTATTTTCCCCTTTGTTTGTCTTGGTTTAGCTAGTGAAGAAGCAGCATTGATATGTTTTGCAGAGGGTTTACAAGAGAAAAAGCTCATGGGAACAACAAAATTTCCTTGATAGTTAGCTTGTCCTAGTTGTATTCTTAAACTAAAGGGACTGAGTTGTAATGATGATCCTTCCTCCAAAGGGATTGAGAAATACACTGGTTTAGTCAAAATGTATATTTCTCAATTTTTTGTATATCTCAAATCTCCCTGTTCGTTGTTCAAAACCAAAAAAAAAAAAGAAGAAAAAAACCCCCTTCTGTTCTGGTAACTGTGATGTGACTAAGTTAGATGGACAAGCAAATTTTTTGTAGACACTGGTTTAACGCAGCATTTGAATGCCTTTTCACCATGCATGCATAACACTACATATTTACTTTTTGTTGCAGCAGAAGGTGAAAAGAGAGACTGGCTATAACCGTTTTAACTGATGTGATGTGGGCAGACAGATTTGAACAGTGAAAGGATGCTGTACTCATAGTAAAGAGATGTTTAAAGTTGGTCATTTGAGGTTTTTTCATTGAGCAAAAGAGTCATAGGTCTGTCTTGGATGCAGATTTTATTTTGGACTAATTTTATTCATGTATTATTTTACTTAGTTTGGGACACATCCTGTATCAGCACAATGTCTGTATTCAGGATTCCTATCTTCCTTGTTTTCTCAGTGTACAAATGTATGTTTATGATAGAATTTTCATAATTCTTCACCTTGGTGTATAAATTTTGCTTGTTTGTTGGCATCCTGTCTGTCACCCAGTCAACTTCATGAATCAATTTCTTTGTTCCCCTAGAATATTATTGTTTTTTGTTTTGTTGAGTTTGATGTGTTATTGACATGTTTTTTTAGACCAACCTTCGTCGTCTGTGCTCTTAGGTCTGAAGTGAAAGCCGAAGTTTGACATTCATGAACTAGAAATCATCTTTATTAAGAAGGGAAGAGACTAAGAAGTCTCCTCAGTCATAGAAAACCCTATCAAACCCTAAAGTGGTTGCCAAATAATGACAGTACAATCACCCATTCAATGTAAAAACAATAGTAATATCTGGGTATATTTAGGACTTATGAAACAGTGAAGCAGATGAAATAACTCAGCAAATTGTGGACGTTGAAGCGTAAGATGCAATGAATAGTAGGAAGAAGAGCAGAGAAACTGTCATCTTTGTAGAACTTGCATCTGATGAGCTGCTATTGGTTGATGGTACATTTTTTGACCCGTTTCCTACACCCATGGAAGCATCAACATGAATGTTTTGATATGAATTTTTTTGGCATTAGAATGGTTAAAAGTTTGTTATACTATCCAGTGCAATGAAGATTTTTTGCAAAAAAAAGAAGATTTTTTGCAAAAAAAAAAAAAAAAAAAAAAAAAAAAAAAAAAAAAAACACACTTCTGTACCTGAAGGTACAGTGTTTGGAGATGCTGGTGTTCCTGATGGAGACACGGCTGGGGAAGCAGCTGCTCAGATAGTGATGTCACAGGTTAGTAGAGGACTAAATATATTTTCAATGTCAAATTTTACGTTGTTTTGAGTTATGACTTTTTTTGTATGCACTCTTACCATTACAGTTGCTGATGGATGGAGTCTTAACATTGCAAGCTCCAGGAAGGGCCAGAGCCAGAGTCTGGTTGACATTGAGCGCCATGGACGAGGAACTACCGTTAAGGACCTCACACAAGCACTCTGGCTGTGTGCGAACAACGCTAGCAAGCTGTGTGCAGCAACTTGAAGATGGTGTTGAAGAGTTCCCGGTAATGTAGTTGAGGCACGGTGACATGCTAATCAATGCATTTGTACAGCTCGATGACTGAGCTGCTGCTCCTGCCCAGAGCATGGCGACCAGGACCAGGACTACTACACCCATCCCATTTGTTCCACAGGCCATTGGCAGTTCTCTCTTCTCTGATTGTTGCAGAAAATGCTGGTGAGTGAAATGAGACTCTTCTGGCTAGGTATGAATGATTGTGTGATTGGTATTGTGGAAAGTGTTTTGCTTATATAGGAAAATTGGGAAGAAGAGTCAAATGAAAATGGCCAATGTGGGTGACCCACTTGTCCTAGTCTACTTCATTAATAGTCAATAACTTAGATTTTTTTTTTGCCAAGATTGTAGGATGTTAGTAAAATAAGATTACGACTAAAGGGGTCGCTGCTGCTCCATCAGTTTGAAGTCCCAACCTTCCCCTTGCCATACACTAAGGTGTGGCTGCAAGACAGCTGGGCCAAACCCCAAGGTCTCAATAACTTAGATTTAAAGGGTGTTTGGAGTTGTTAGAACTTGGTTTGTGGTTTGTTTAGGAATATTTAGGTGAAGAAAAGGACAAATGATTAGTTATATGTGGGTGACCAACTTATTTAACTATTCAACTGGTTCTAGGTTATGCAGCCACCTGTGTTTTTTAAGGAGGCCCTTCAAATGTGTAGACTTTTGAAACTTCTCCCAAGAATAAAGCATGTGGTGTATACCTAACTCTTATCATTTTGTATGACAGCTTTGGTTACAGCTAGTCATGGTTGGCCATTTAGTGAAAAATGAGGCTCCAAATTTCATTTATTCACTTTTTCAAGGTGGTTCGTGAGACGATGAAAATTTTTTTTTTTTTTTTCTCTCTTACAGTGCAGACTATAAGTAATTAGGGCTGCAGTTGATTCGGTGATTCAGGAACAATTACACAATTTCTAGAGCTTAGTGTTGTTCTGTTTCACTTTCGCGAATTTGTACTTGGGTGATACAAGGGAAGATGGAATTTAGATACAATGGAGCAATGATATATATTATTCATTTTTATTACTATTTTAAATCACATCAATTATGTCAAGTTGCCTTATTTCTACATCATATAATTTTAGTAAATTACACTGTAGTTATTGTAAGTTGCTTTGATTTAATCCGTTTAATTTTGATGCATGAGTGCTTTTATTTACGGGATGGGGGTCACTGCTGTGCTTTTAGCACAACAGCAACTGTTGTGTGTCTATTTGAGGTATATTATGAGTTTATTTTTATGATCTGAACCGTTCATTTTGTAGGGTATGTTGAGTACTTCATGCCTACTAAAAATCATATTAATTGGATATCAATAACTATATGATCCGTAATCAAAAAAATAAACAATAAGTTTTTCTTTTGAGAAATAGCATAAAAAATATGCAATTTGATCATATACTTATTGATATCCGATTAATATGATTTTTGGTAGGCATGAAGTACTCAACAAATCTTACAAAATGAACGGTTAGGATTATAAAAATAAGCCCATAATACACCTCAAATTGTGGCACATAGCACAACATTGACCTGAATTCCTTTATTTAGACTATAAAAATGAAGGAATTTACACCATAAAAATAACTCATTACATTACAATTTTATTCCTATTTAAAATAATCAAAAAGTAGTCAAACACTAAATTTTCATTTTGAAAAATGTTAAAAATTTTATCAAATGTCTCACATAGATGAGGGTTTCATATGACACTCACATTGTGTGAGTTTTACACCTATGTGAGATATTTTGGTAGAATTTTTGATAGATTTTTTGGGATTTTTACCATTGCTCTTTCATTTCACCTATACTTTTCCAATGGACCATCACCACCACTACCGCCTTATTGACACTACCCTCACCTCTCCCTACTCTCCTCTCAACCGAGCTAAGTAAAGCGGTTAGATAAATACATTATCTAATGATGTCTTTTTTGTGGGTATAATTTGGAGTTAGTAGTTCTAATGATGTCTTTTTTAAATAAAAAAAATTCAGCTACCAAATAAAAGAAGCTGTTGGTGATACACTAGGCTGTTTGACATCAGTGGTGGCCGCGATTATGCACTGTTGCATGCATCTTGTTAATATTATTTTTTATTATTGCTAAAAAATAGTGATACTGTTTTAACATCATTTTTTTAAATGGTTCTCACTAATTTGATTCCTTTTGGAGCTCAAGGGATTGAATTCAGAACTGAGAATCCATTGAGTTCCATTACCCTATAATTTGTACAACTCGATTTTAAGAGTTATTTACCAAACTCGAGTTATTTCAAAAATTAATAAGGCCTTCTATTTAAGGATGCAGTTATAATTTTGTTTCTTTTAAAAAAATAAATAAATAAATAACATGGTAAAATAGATATTTTATTGTAAAAGAGATGATAATATTATTTTTTTTCATCCAACTAACAAATTTCTAATGAAAAGAAGGTGAAGTATTATGTGAATTAAAATCTTAAGTGAGTCCAATGTAATTATATTAAATGTGTGAACTTTTGGAATATTAATTTTATGCAATCAAAATGAAATAAATTAACTGTAAAATATTACTTCGAGAATTTATGTAGAAACTTTAAAACGAATTTGATCGAAACTAGTGTTTGAATACAATATTTTTTATGACATAAAATCGGATTCAAATTTCACAGTATAGGAGTAGTAAATAGAACAAAACACAAAGTGTCGTTCATTATTGTACTTGTATAACACGACCCATACATAAGAACTTAAAACAAAACATTAATATAAAACATAGACTGTTACACATAAACATTGTATTAAATAGTAGTACTAGAGAAGCTCCAATCCACAGAGCTCTCAATCAAGACTCATAAAGCTGTTTGAAATTAAAGCATATATATATATATATATATCAAACCATGAAGAGAAGGAGGGTGACAAACTGAAGGAGGCATCATAGTACTATACTGCCATTATTGAGCTGTCTGATGGAGCTGCTTTAGATCCTGCTTCACCATCCATTCATATGTTAACATGCGAAGACTATATAAGTTCATAGTAAGAATGTCTTAAAATCTACTAAAAAATAAATAGGAAAAAAATAGCTATACTTGTTTGAACTTCGAAGAGTTTAAATTAGAACTGTAGAGAACCAATTTTAGACTATTTATAACAGATCGTATAGTTTCAATTATGCTAATATTATATTTTAACTTGTTTGAAGTTTGTTATATCGGCTATAGCCGTACACAAGGGCAGAACAAGAAATTTTACTCGAGGGGACAAAACTATGAGTCTCCGTTTTCACAATTTTTTTGATATATATTCGCCTGCAACAGAACAATTTCTAAAGCTTAATTAAATTTTCACGTTGCTTATTATCATTATTATTTGATACATTACATTCTGGTATTTTTTATATATTATCCATGGTGCTAATGTAAGGTATTCATGCGGACTTTAAGAAATTTTATTGTTCTTTAGTGTAGCAGCCGCAGAAAAAAAATAAAAACGAAGTATTATAGCATGTGGCGGGCAAACGATAAGGATGATATAAATCAGGATTCTTCACAATGGATCTCTCTCCAATAGTAAAAATAAAGTTATATTGTTTTAGGATGCATGATTTTAATGTCATTTTATTTCAAATTTAACTTAAATCGTTCAATTATATATTTTGCTGCCATGTCTTATTGTAATAAAAAATTATAACAAAATCATCACAAGTAAATAATAGTAAAGTAATCCGACTTGGAAAATATAAGGATAAATAAGAAATTAGGAGAAGATTTCAAAGTACCATAGTAACGAACCAAATTTACTTAGATTTTAGGAATCTACATACTAAGCTTGCACAAGTCTTGTTGGGCTCTATCATCACTTTGCATTGCCTCACCAAACACGTACGTGTGTGTTGGGAAACGGTAACTGCTATGCTCTTTGTGGGAGGTCGTCTCGAATATATTTCGATGATCTAAATTATTCATATTGTAAAGTTTGTCGAGTAGATTATCCTTACAAAACATGAAGTTGATTGGATATCTGTAGCCCTATAATCAAATTTGTTTTCATAAAAATTAACAATTAACATAACTTTCATAAATTTTTAAAAACAATTAGGACCTAATTATAGAGTTATGAATATCCGATTAATTTGATTTTTTACAGGAATAATATTCTCGACGAACCCTACAATACGAACGGTTCATATCATTGAAAAACATTCGGAACAATCTCCCACAGAGAGCACAACAATTACTACTGTGCCTATAGCACAACAGTACCCCTTTTCCTATTGGGAAACGGGGATACTACAATGCTCTTTGTGGGAGGTCGTTCTGAGTGTTTTTCGATGATCTGAACCGATCATATTGTAGGATTCGTTGAGTAGATCATCCTTACAAAACATCAAGTTGATTGGATATCTATAGTCTTATAATCAAAGCACATTTGTTTTTATAAAAATTAACAATTAACATAACTTTAATAAATTTTTAAAAACAATTAGGACCTAATCATGAAGTTATGAATATCCGATTAATTTGATTTTTTACATGAATAATATTCTCGACGAAAAGGGCACAACAGGTATTGTTGTGCCTATAGCACAGGAGTACCCCTTTTCCTATTGGGAAACGGGGTTATTTGCTGTGCCTAACTGCTATGCTTTTGTAGGAGGTCGTCCCGAGTGTTTTTCGATGATCTGAATCGTTCATATTGTAGGATTCGTCGAGTAAATCATCCTTACAAAACATCAAGTTGAATGGATATCTGTAGCCTAGTAACCAAAGCACATTTGTTTTTATAAAAATTAATAGTTAACCTAACTTTCATAAATTTTTGAAAACAAGTAAGACCTAATCATAGAGTTATGAATATCCGATTAATTTGATTTTTTACATGAATAATATTTTTGACGAACCCTACAATGTAAATGATTTAGATCATCAAAAAATACTCAGGACGATCTCCCACTAGCACAGCAGTACCCCCCGTTTCCTGTTTATTGACTCCTATTAACACTGTTGATTTGTGAGTGTTGATTTATGTTTTTTTTCACGCATTGAAAAATTAAAATTTCATGTATATAATATATATGATATGATAAGATACCTCATAGTAAGGATGATGAGCTAGTTAGAATTAGGAGATGCTGCCGGTGGCGGCATAATAACTTCCAGAGAACCTGCAGCTATATTCCCAACAAACAACATCATCAGACATATATCAGTATGTATGTATCAATCTACATTACAATAACATTATAGAGAGTGGTTCAAATTGCAGTTTTGAGAGACCCCCATTGTATTGGTCTCAATGTACAAAGCATGGTTCAAATAGCAGTTTTGAGAGACCTATTGTATTGGTCTCGATGTAACAAAGCAATATGTTTCGAGAATTGGGTATTGTAGTCATAAATTTTTTAAAATCATTTGTTGTAAAAGAGAGTTTTATAGTAGTCGAACATGCTATATTAGCTGTAAATCAACTTGTGAATCGGTATGTATTGGGAATCAACCAACTGTTATATTGGGATGTATTGGTATTAGAAGGAAAAAGTTGTGTATATTGACAGATGTAGTACTTATTGATCGATATTTACACTTCTTTTATTTTGTTAAATTTTTTTTTTTTTTTTCATTTTTGTAGTTAAGAGAAAACTCTTTTAGTAATCAACAGATAAACAAGTTTACTTGAGAAAAAAATATTTTTTATTTTTAAAAGATGAATAACATTTTCTGAACTCTTTTACCACGCTATCACCGTCAATCCCACCACCTCCTCCACGATCGCACCATCAATAAAATTACTAGCGCATTAATTTCGAGATCATAACTGAACACAAGAAAATGTTTTTAAAAAAATCATAAAAATATTTTCTAGTGAAACAAACAAGATTAAAACATAGGGAGTGGTTGCTTGAGTTTTACCACCACATTTACTGACTGGTGGAGTTTTCACATTGCATGCACCAGGGAGGGCGAGGGCAAGAGTTTGGTTGATGTTGAAACCCAGGACTGAGCCACCACCATTGAGTACAGTGCAAAGACACTCTGGCTGTGTATTCACTACACTGGCAAGTTGCGAGCAGCACGAAGATGACGGTGTCGACGAGCTCCCGGTGACATAGCTCAGGCATGGAGCCAAGCTGAGGAGCACACTGGTGCACCCCGACTGAGCCTGGATTCCTCCTGTCCAAGCCATGGTTGCTAGGGCTAGGACCACAACACCTATCTGAATCATCCCAGTTGAAGCCATATTCTGAGCTGATAGTATCTAAGGTTTTGTTTGTTTGCTGGGAATGTTAAATTGTTGTTTGCTTGGGGTTGGGGTCGGGGTTGAGGGAAGCACATAAACTGATATTTATACAATAATAAGGTTAATTAATTAAGTTTTGGGTAGTATTTTTTATAGAAATTTCATACAGAATAATGTGACTTTTTTTTGGCCATTTTATTTCAAATCAAAACCACATTATTGTATAAGAATAATATTAGAAATTCCTAAATTTATCCAGAATTACATATCAGAAATTAGGTTTTAGTTGATTGATTTATAAACAAATCAACAAATGACATGTAACAATTCATGTTATTAGAAGTGCTTTAGGGTTCATGTTTTAAAAGTCTTAAAAACATGTTTTATGATGAAAACTATTGTTTTAAACACTTGACAAGTTGTATGAACAACACACATTCTTGATTGGTTAAAATAGTCACCAAATTAAAAATGTAATGAACGCGATTTAAAGTAGAGGATTTCATTAATTTAGTTAATAAAAAGATAAATTTTATTTACACACTTTCCAAATAAATAAAATCAGACTCCCATTATTATAATTCATAGTTATAAAAAATATTATTGTAAAGTTTTTATGGGTAGCCTAACCTTTTAGTAATGGCAAAGCTATTGGTAAGCTACTCAGACTAATCAACTAAGCCACTGGTGTGCCTGTGTATCTATACGGCGGTTTTAATTAAATGCTTTTTATGGAGGGAAGTGAATATCGAACTTCAGTACAATCAAATTTTCTGAGCCAGGAGTGCTATGTGTCAATCCACAATGTCGAGACATGATCATACGAATTAATATTAAGGAAGATGGTAATTTTTTGATTTTTTAAATTTTTTTTAAAAAAAAATTATAAAAAATTATGAAAAATAATATGATCTAAAATAAATTAAAAGCTGAAAGATAACTTTTACCCATCTTCACAAAATAATCCTAAGTAATGAATACTACGCATTGGGACAGAAAATTACGTGTCCAAGTTCTTATTGTCGTAGTAATTCAATTATTTTTTTAAAAAAGAAATTATTAATTGTTTACGCTCTACAGGTCATGACCATGACAACTGTGTGCCCAAGTTATTTTCCTCTTACGAATTCAATTATTTTTAAAGGAATTATTAGTTGTTTATACGGTAGACGTCGTGGTCATGACATGTGTTACGCCCACAATGTTGTGACGTAGGCTCATTAAACAAAAGATTTAAAGAGTTAATTGAGTACTTTAGAAACTAAATATTTTTAATTTTAAAAGTGAAAATTTTATTATAAAAGATATTTAAGAGTCAATTTGTATCAACATAAGAATATTTGTTAAAAAGTCATCTTGAAAGTATAAAACAAATTTTTTAGTGATAAAATTTTGAAAATGTCACTAAAAAATAGACTTTTGAAGCAAAATAATTTGGTCTAAAAATAATTTATTTTTTGAGACAAAAAATTTGGTCCTAAAATGATAATAATTCATCACAAATATCTAATTTTTATTACAAAAAATATAATAACAGCATTTTTCATAACAAAAGTATTTAGTCCCAAAAAAATAATTTATCTTTAAATTTTTATCTCTAATTTTTTTTTTCTTTTCTTGTAGTGGAGGAATATGTTTCCATGGTCGTTTAAAAAAAAAATGAAAAAGTGGCATGCTTGATATATCAAACATTTAGTAATTGTAATTTGTAGGCCTCATCTTATCACTGACATTGAAGAGTTCTCAACTTCTTTTTTTTATTTCACACTCCTTTTGAGATATACAAGAAGAAGGACAAAGCATTGGTACTTTTGTTTGCCTATGTTTCTATTGGAATAATCTTTTGTATAAAATAAATAATTTGTAATTAAATTAAATAAATAAAAATAAATTACTTATAGAATTTATTTACCGAAACGAATAAATACAAAATTAATCAAGTCGAGTGTGTGAGACTTTATCCTTAAGACAGATTCACCCCGTTTCGGTGCTTACGGATAAATGACGTCTATCTCCCAAGATAAAATGATCTACACATATTGTAGTAGCACTGCAAACAATCTGTACGGCTAACTAAAACCTGTGTTCTAAACTCTAAGAATTTTTTCCTAAAAATAATATGAAGAATATATCAATGTAAGAGAGCACAAAGAAGACAAGAAGCGAATTTTTCAGAATGAAAAAATTGCTGAAAGAGGGTCTGCTTTTATAGGCAAAGTGGTGTCCCTTTGGAAGGGCCAAACAGGTAAGATTTCAATTTGAACAGGTGCAGATTCAAATTGAACATGTGCGAATTTGAATTAAACCTATTGAAACAGGTTTGAATCTATCTGGGAAGAGATTGAATCTGTTCGGCTGCAAACTGTTTAAAACAAGTTGAAAGAACTGTCTGAACTTGCTAGAAAATGGACCCGGAAGAGGCACTGTTTGGACAGGAAAATTGAATTCAAATTTGGCGCAAAATTTGAATTAATTTCATTCAGAAAAAATATTTTTTCACAATAATTTTTGAAAAAAAATCAAATAAATTTTGTCTAAAAAATTAATATTATGACCAACCCGACCCACAACCCACATCCGCATCCGCACCCGGCACGGCTCGGTTTGGCTAGCCGGGCGGCGGCACACGCATGTGGTGGTTTGAGCCAAAGCCCACTTTGTCCATAGTTCCTCCCTTCTATAAACTTGGGCTGCCCTTTGGAGCCTAACCCAAGCATTCCCACATAGAATTTATATACACACATAAGTTTTCTTGAAATTTCAGTGTGGGACAACCATTTCAAGGAAACTCACATTTTATTTCTTTAATTGTCCATTCCACGAACGCGAAAACGACGTCAACTTTCCATTCATTTATAAATGGTTTTGACGAACCGTCTTCACCATGTGACTTGCCATTCGGCAAGAAACACGTCATCTCTTTAGTCCCACTCCATAAGACATGTGGGACCCACTCAAATTTGGGCTCAAAGTTGGCCCAAAATAAACTTATAAAAAACCATAATTCTAACAATCCCCCATATAAATGGAATTAACGAAGAGAAAATACAATAACATGATCTTATTACAGAAAGCACATAAATTGGAAATATTTGCAAAAGATAGGTAGCTTTTGGCTTTGAAACTTCTCTTGTAGACACTATCGAATTTACTATTTAACCAGTGAACATGATGTCTTGAACTGTTCAGTCATTTGTGTAAATCAAGACAATAGAACTCATTATAGCGATCCGGGCTTAGACCTGACCCATTTATTACTTTTGAATCTGAAAAATCATAGTTATGATGGTCGTTCTTTCCTCTTCTTGGTTGGTTTTGGCTTCGGGGGCCGACCCCATCCTTGTTGGTATCGGCACTCTTTTTTTTTTTTTTTTGCTCTAGGTGTTGACACCAGTGTTGAAAGGGTCGATACCTTATTGTTGCCGTGTTTTGAGTTTGGGTATTGAAATTTAGTGTCGACACCAAGCTGGGAGGTGTTAACACCTTTCATGCTGTCAAACATAAGTGTTCCAACTTTTCTTCATAAGGATCGACACCTCTGCTGCAGGGGTCGACACTTGTGAACTTTTTCCCAGATTTTCAGTCAGTTTAGGCCCTACTTTTTGGGAATTTTGACTAGATATTTTGGGTTGACTTTGGGGTTTATTTTTATTTTGACCTAGTACAATAAATAGGTGAGTTTGGGTATTGAAATTTAGTGTCGACACCAAGCTGGGAGGTGTTAACACCTTTCATGCTGTTAAACATAAGTGTTCCAAATTTTCTTCATAAGGATCGACACCTCTGCTGCAGGGGTCGACACTTGTGAACTTTTTCCCAGATTTTCAGTCAGTTTAGGCCCTACTTTTTGGGAATTTTGACTAGATATTTTGGGTTGACTTTGGGGTTTATTTTTATTTTGACCTAGTACAATAAATAGGTCCATCACTTAATCTTTTCTTTACTTTTCCTTCTCCTTTCGCCCTCTAAACCGTGAAACTCTCTATTTCTCTCAAAAAGCACTTTTTCACTCAAAGATCCTTAGATCTACTCACTCGAAGGCCTCTCCTCGCCTTGCTTCTTTGAGATTAATTGTAGAGTTTGTCGAGGGCTTAATTTTGATCAGTGCAAAACGCCGTTCCTCTTCCGTTGACTTTTGGGTTTGTCTTCCTTTTCCCTCTTCTAAGCTTGAGGTAGGGACTTTCTATACTTTGGTATGCTTTTTAGCTTGGGTATTTGATGATAGTGCAAATAAATGTTGGGATTTGGGTGATTTTAGACAAACCTAGGGTTTTGGTTTAAAATAAAAAAGAGGGGTTTTCAAATAGAGGTGTTAAAAGGGATATGGGGTGATGTTGTGTTGTGTCAAGCTTGTTGATTTTGGCAAATGGGTTGTATTTGGAAGGAAGTGAGGTGTTGGCCTAACATGTTTCAAATGGTTGTTTTGTATAAATCGTGGAATTGGTTCAACACAAGTGAAATTGGTTAAATGTGTACATAAATGGTGGAGTTGGAAAATTATCGTTTCTCATCGATGGACATATGGATAGTTTATCTATTGTGAAGTTTGTATAACTACTTAGAAATATCTGTTTTGGGCTATCGGTGCAGGATAACTATGGTTGTTATAAAACTTGCTTGAGAATTAGGTGAATTGAAACTAATCTCGTATTAATTGTCAGTAAATATGACTATGTGTTTATACATTGTATATGAATCATATTTGGGAGGAGAAATGTGATGTACTCCATGTTTGGAAGGAGAAAGGGGATGAACTCCATTGAATTAAGTTGGTGTGTCTAGGGTGAAAGTCTCGAAAACAACGCGTATATACATGAGTGTTGATTCTCGCGGACGAAATTTTCGTAAAATGACAGATTGAATTGTTTATGTGATAATTGTATTGGTAGAGAATTATTGGGATGCAATCTCAGTTGGATTGTTTGGATAACAAGGGATTTAACTCATGGATTAAGATAAAATGAATTGCCATGAACTAAAGTAAGACTAAAATGGCTTAAGATGTAAAACTTGGCATGGTATGATCTTAACATCTCGAATCATTTGTCATAGGCATTGTATATGCACACCATACTTATACTTTTGTTAA